CGTACAGGCGGCGGGTGTCGGTCAGCGCGCGAGCCGGCGTCAGCGCCGGAGCTCAGCACGGCCCCGGGGAGCAGGACTCCCCCTTTGAGCGCCGCGCCACGGTGGCGCGATCAGAATTTTAGTTCCTTCCGAAGCAAGCTCTCCCTGAGCCAGGAGACTCCCGCCCAGCCCGGCTTTTTTCGTGGTGTTGGGCGTTTTGGGTTTGGTTTGGTTTTTGGTGGGGTTTTTTTTTTTTGTTCTTGTTTTTTTTAAATACATTAAGCAGCTTGGAGATTATATAACTCAAAAGGAATTAAACATTAAATACGTAAAAACCTTCAATAACTTCTAGAGCAACGTGGATACATATGCATGGAAATACGCATTTTATGTTTAGTTCTTCAGTAACGTCCAATCCACTCAAATGCGTATTTCCATGCATATGTATGTTTAGTTCTTCAGTAACGTCCAATCCACTCAAAACTTCTTTTTTTCATTCAGTTGAATACGTAATGCTTACTTTTCCAATGCACATAAACCAGTAACAGCGACATACGACATTATTTGACCTTAGCCCTCTTAACCAGGTGCACATATTTGCTTATTCTCTGCACAAGCTGCCACTGCAATAATTATCTCCCTCCCAGCAACTCTCGCTGCCAGAGTCACACCAAACAGATTTTTACAGAAGTTAGGAGTAATTTAATTTCTCTCTAGAGAAGCCATTTCCATTTAAGAAAAGTAAACCATATCTACCACATTAAAACTTTCTTTAGATACGGTCCACATCTAGAGAGTCTAACAACCACCATTTAATCCTTCTACATAGTTACAAGTTAGGGGTTTGGCCTCTTTCCTTTAGTGGAATATAGGACACTTTTTTGACCTAGTTTTAAGGCTTAACGAGCAACAAGAAACCCCTCTTGTATGATGACACTCCTGTAAACAGAGTCTGGTTCTTTGCTATTTTAGCTGTGTTTTTAAATGGAGGGCACAGTACTGTCCTTTAAGTCCTAAATGAATTCTAGCCTTAGATGCAAAACTCCGCATTCACACAACTGCAAGCAGCCCCAAACACCTACAAGTGCTTCTTCCCAACCAACAATGTAAAAGTTGTTTGAATGGACTTTGTGCTGCCTTGAACCACAACTGATAAGGATACCAGAAAGCTAAAATAAACGTTAACAAATATTTAACTGCTAATAATTCAGTTGCCAGTTTCTATTTAGTATTAGCCTTCCTTATTTAGAAGGCAAATATATTGCATGAAATGGTCACCATTTTACATTTTCAAAAAGAAAGGATAATAGCTTACAATAGTTATCACTGCTCCACAGCAAGCGCTTTTTATCTTATTGTTTAGACATACCATACTAGTAACATTCCAGCGCATCTCTATGATTAACACCCTCCTTTACTGACACATCAGCTATTATATTTAATTTTTAAACCATCCATACTGTTCATAATTGTGAAAGTTTGAATCGCATGCAATTTTTGAGTTGCGACAGCCAACAACATCCTAGCTACCATCTTATGCAACAATCATTAAGTATTGATACTGGATTTAAGATTAATTATATTGTAATCTACAGCGAATGCAAAGCCCTGCTCAATTCACTCTGGTAGTTATGATTGCAACACTAGATCAGAAAAAAATTTTTTTCACCAGACTAAGTATGTGAATGGCCGCACACAAAACTTTCAGCTTAATTTATAACTGCTACAAATCATTCCTTATTACACTTATTAAACATTACATCTCATAATTCAGTTTACAAGTGAAACTATGGGGAATCAGAAGAAGCAGTTATCTTTGTTCAGAACGATGAAGTGAAAAAATCATTGTGAATGACACTGAAACACCGATCTACAGGGCTTAAGGGAGGAGTTTGTTTGGCTTTTTTTTTTTTTTAATCAGACCATTATAACAACACAGTGGTGTCACATTGCAGTTCCTCTAAAAGGAGGAAGCAATTGTACATCCCTCCTAAAAACCACAGTTAGTGAAGAAGAAATTACATTACAGACCTTCAAATTTAGTGTTCATCTAACCTTGTTGAAAAACTGAGAGCATCTGGAAAACATTTTAAAATTAGAATATGCATAAAAAAGTAAGAAGATACTCCAGTGATTTACAAGAGAACATTGAAAGACGTTTCAAGAGTTCACAAGGAAGTACAGCTGCAGTAGTCTTAGTAAACATTTTCCTTAAATCCACCTCTAATATGCAATAAGGTGTGGCAAAAAAACCCCAACAATTGTACATGAAAATTTTAAGACCTACTCATATTTGCTAATGGTGGGCTCAAACTCTTAGCTCAAAAAACAGAGGAACTCATGAGGAATTTCTCCACACAAGAATTTTAGGTATCAAACACTTTTATATAAATCTTTTCCCAGGTGCTACTTCTCAGTTACATCTATATGTACATTTGTTAATATTTTATAAAGCATCAGAGGTTTTTGGCGGTGCCTCCCCCCACCCCCCCAAATGCTTCAGCATTAGGAAAATAGTTCCCAACATCACTGGACTGAAAATGCCTCTTAGAATCATCATGTTCCATCATTTGCAACTATGAAGACTGTATGCCAACATCACTATATTTACTTGTCTGCTTATAAAAATCTCAAATTCCAAGTTATTCCAAAATAATGATGAAACTTTACAAGACTCACTGTAAATTGTGTATTTACACTATAAACAACTTCTACAACTTTTCATCAATAGTTAACATAGATATTTTAAAAGCACCCTTACAAACAAAAGTATTGCACTGGCATCATAAAAATTCACAGTAAGTTTAACTTCCTTGGTAAAACAGTGCAAGAGCTTTTTATCCAAACATTCCCAGGTTATTAAAACTAAAAAAAAAAAAAAA